CTTTGCGTACCTCAGGATTACACATGGCAGACCGGAAGTTTTACCCCACTGCTCCTTGTAGAGCAGTAATGCTGCATCCGTAGATATGGTTGAAAGGTATGAATATTGGCTACTTGATAAACATCCATCATGTCTGTTTGAAACCTATCGCTAAACACTGAACAAAATTTGGCTAGTACAGCAGAAAAAAGCTGAATTTTGATCAGCGTGTGGCCATCCCTACGCAACATTTGATTGGCTACTGTTAAAGTGACATGTTGGAAAATTTTTCTTGATCATCAGCTGCTGCCACTGAACAGTGTATTTTGACAGGCAACAAGACAGCATACAATGTCCATTGTCAGAATACAATGTCCCTATGGTGGGGGGGGGGGGGGGGGGGGGTAGAGGATTTCTCCATCCACCTCACTTGTGTGGAATGAAGGGATCTTAAGTTTTTTTTCCTGCCACCCGTTTCTGAATAGAAGAAAAAAAAAAAACAAAAAAAACAAACAAAAAACCCCTGTCTATGGCCATCTTTAGGCTTGGCTACCTATGCTTATCAGCATATATGAGTATAAGGGGGGGGGGGGCTGAAGGGAGAGCTGCACACTGAAGGTTTTTTACCTTTATGCATAGACTAATCAGTAAGATCTTTCAAAATCATTTTTGCATGCTCCAAAGTTTTATGCGCAAGCTCATTTTCTCTACTGAATTTTTTCTATTGGATTTTATTCCATTTTGGGTTTTGTATGTTGTACATTTTAATTCACCTGTGTCTTTTGGTCATGTGACCATTTGATTTAATATTAGTTTGTAATATCACTTTACTTCAGCCATGACCAAGGCCTTACAGCCAAAACACATTGGCCGTTATACATGTTTTTGTAATAAAAAAAAGAGAACAGTTGTTGGATGCTATTCCAAGTTATGACGTCTCCTCTTGTGATCCTTGTTACTTAGAGGCACTGCCAGCCTGTTAGTCTGAGCACCGGGCAGAGCTGGAATATGGGAAGCTAGAAGCGCTAACACATCTGTATCCAAAAAACTATCAAGATTTAGAACCACTTTAATCCTGTGGCGCCGATCACCTACTGGCTCTTAAAGGGTTCTAAAAGCTGGAAGGTGGAGCTTACCGATCACAGCCTGCTACCGTGCTGGGAGTGTGCTCTCAGCACAGCAAATAGCTTTTAACAGGGCCCCATACATGCAGCTGCTTGCTGCTAGGGCCCACCCACCAAGTGGCCACATATGCTTCCAGCCAGCGTCATGAGACTAAGCTGTACTTGGCTCAGGGTATTCAAATCTTTAATGACAAGTGTTTAATGAACCACAGAGAATGAAGGTTTAAACACAGCCAGGTATTTGTCTTAATGTGGAACTTCCCTCTTTCATTCAACCTGGACTATTTGTAATCCTTCTGCTGTTAGCATTAGTAAATGGATAGGAAAGGATCATATTTATTTGTTTAATTTTTTTTTTTTACATTTCTTCAGTTACTTCTTGGTTTCCAGGCCTAGGCAAATTATGTCATACAGCAGTCTTCAGGAGGGGAGGGAGGGTTCTCAGCTCAGCCAATGCCTGAGAGCTAAAAGGCAGATGGATTCCAAGAAGTAAATGCTATATGAATCATCTGCCCTTACTCAAGATGGCCACTGCCAGAAATGCCAGGGGGTGTTTTTTAAATTGATTTCTCAGCAAAATAAAGCATGGTGACTTGGATGGATGGGCAAGTTTTCTTTGAATATTAATGAAGTAGCATTTTTTGGGTTGTGGTGCTCAGATACAGCGCAGTTCCACTTTAAGGGATTCTTATTTGTTTTGCACTGGAGTAACGGACATGATTGGACAAAAGCTGCACTCACTGTAGTGTTTGATAAGTGTACTAGTAATGTCATTCCAGCTCTGTTCCATTTTCACTTGGTCAAAGCTAAAAGCAGTAGGGGACAAAAGCACACTGAGGAACACCCATGGGCACTTGGCACGTGTAAATGACACATTTTTAATACTATGAAGCAGAGTTTATTTTCAGACCGTTTATTGAAAACATTTGTTTTGTAAATACAAAAACAGCTTAAATCATTTAGGCAAACTTAAAAGTTAATATAAATAACAAAACATACCAATAAACAGTTAAAAATGGTTTGCTGCACATTCCCATTTGACTGGAGACCCTGTATGCTGTTGAGAGCAGCAGTTAAGCACCTTGTACTGTTGATTCCTCTGTGGCAACCCAAAATATTTAAACCCATTAAACTATATTCCACACATGTATGTTGAGCTGGGGATTAAATCCCAACATAAACTTTGGAATTATGGGTTCTAAATTTCAGGGCCGCAAATAAATTCTGAATGGATCATAGAATTCTCTCACCACTGCACAGTAACTACTGTCTGGTAACCCTGTGTCAAAAAGAATTGCTTCTAAAAGCTCAGACAATGTTTACATTTTATGCCTTCACAGCTTCAAGAATAAAATAATCATTTCCATTTTGTATAAAAATATATATTTTTTGGAAAACAGACCTGCTGTAATTCATAATAAAGAACGATTTTTACCTATAAGCAGAGAGCTACCAAAATAACAAAAATTTATAAAAATTGCACAGTTCTCAACAAGTATAAAAAAAAAAAAAGCAAGAATAGGCTAGACAAAAAGGTGGCATATCTCCAACATAAAACTTGTTCTGGATTTTAAAGAACAAATCACCTCGGATTATGCCTAGCCCTTTGATAGTGTGCAATCTGTGGTACCGTTTCATTTAATGAATGCTGGAACACTAATTCGATTTTTTGGCTTTTTAAGACAAATGTAAACTTTACTGAAAGCTTGATATTAGACCCCATCAAGTGCAAGAAGTTTTAAAACTAGCATACGGGACTTCGTTGAACATCCTGTTGTTCTACCGAGAATTCAAAATGATTTACATCTTTGTTGTTTTAATGGCCACTCATGTAATTACTGCAGAGCTACAGTTACTTGCACATTAGTGCTAAACATACATTTCCACAATATCTTGGTGTTCAATATACACCACATGCCCCTTTGGGAAGAAAAGAAAGGCTCTCAGCCCAACACATGCAAATCCTCATGTCCCCATGAGGCTGAAGCAGCCTCTCTCAACACCCTTAAAATACCTTTCTGGTCTCAAGGAACCCCTGCGAAACATTCCTGTATCTACAACTCTTGATACATTAGTGTAAAGGTCAGTGGGAAGAATGATCCTTACATTGGTGGTCATTGGGAAGAATGAATCCCTTACAGATGGCTAAAAAGATCATTGGTGTCGTTGAGGACCTGAGAGGCAGGAATTGCTCATTGCTTAAGGAACCCCTAGAGGAATCCTAGGGTTCCATGGAACCCTGGTTGAGAAACCCTGAGCCGAAGACTTCCAAGGAAGAATTTGCAAAGTTCTAAAATGTCAGTGTGAGACATGACTAAATTGAATGTATAGTGGAAAACTATTTTGGCCCCCAAACACAGAAAGCAAATCTTCAGTGATAAGTTAGACAGTGTTTACCATAAACAATACAACTATAAGCAAAATGCAATTCTATAAATGAATAAGACGACAGGTTTTTTCTTTTGTCCTAACTGCAGAGCGGGCAGTCCACCACCTCACTCTCCAGTCACGTTAGACAGATTTGTGCGCAGGTCTGGGAAGGACTGTGAAGTGTGCAATGCACAAATAGCTGCCAGATCGACAAGAGAAGCAGGGATTTTCTACAGACACTTCTGTAAGCCATATGAAAATTAGTGCTTGTTATATTTTTAAAGCAACACATTTTCCAACCGTAAATGTACATTTGGTAATAAAATATGACAAAGGAATTAGGTACTATAGTTCAGTTTGCTTACTTCAGGTCAAAACACTGCCTGTGTTTAAAAAGAAATTCCAGTTGTTGGCAATACTGTTGATCTAACCGGTTAGAACTTGAACCTGAATTCCAGGTACAATCTTTTTTTTTTTGCATAGTTACATTGCTCCAGCTTGGACCAATATAAATATGCATATGCCATACCTGTGGGTTTGCTGTGGAAGCTAAAGAATCACTGTAGTAGTCACTGCTACTACAGGAATCCCCACTTTCAAGCAGCTGCCCTGCTGCATAGTAACAAGGTCAGTGTGGAAGTTCAGGGGGAAACTCTAATCCAGTAACACATTAAATTATATTAGGAGATGAGTGTGTCCTCCAAAAGGATCATGGACATCTTACCCTACGCCAAAGGCAAGCTTGCCTAGGCAACTGGAAGTATTTTAATTTCCAAGATACTGCTATGTGAAGGTAGGGATGGGCAAGGGAGAATTTTGGCAAATAATAATTCCCTATATTAAAATAAAAAATTAACTTGCTGTTAGATGCAGAATTGTGTTGTATTTTACTGGATAAATCATGCAACCATCTAAGCCAAGAACTTACTTGCACCCAAACATATTAAGAGTCCTTTAGATCTTTGGCCTTCAAATTAACACTATTCGTAATGGATTTTAATTTCCTACTATTTGGGCCAACAATCATATCCTTAGTTTAAGTAGCACAGCACTGAATGTTTGTATTTATGCAAAACACATAGAAACTTGTGCAAAACAAAGTGTAGGTATTGCCTGTAGGAATCATATTCCTGATGTTCTTGTGCTAGTGCAAAGTATGACATGTAAACATGCATCCATTTAGTTGTTTTTGCCCCAGTTTGTCTTTGAAAATAGGGCCCACAGAAGGAAAATTTAGCTATAGTGATTTCACTTGCAGTTCCCTGGTTTAGCACCAGAACTGGCCAATTAACCACAAACGTATTCAGAACATTTAAATTACTAAGACCACGCAGCAGAACATGGATATGATCCATCATATTTAAACCTGCAAAGAAGAAGAATGTTAATCAGCTTGCAGTAGGTTTGTCCCCAGAAGCCAGATGTTAAATCTTTCACTTTAGGATCAGTGGCTTGCTTCCACAGATAATGAAGATCATCTACATGTCCATGAGAGGTCATCATCCTGTTATAGATGCACTGGTGATAGGGAGCCCTACCTTCCCCTGAAAAGAATAAGTGATGTTGAGGCACAATCCCCATTTTATTGGCACAGATTCCCATGAAAACATCATCAATGTATAAGCTGGTATTTAAGGTCTGTGATGCTTCATACACTTTGGCTGCCACATCCCGTGAAACAACATAGGCAGCCCCTGCAGTATAATCGGGATAAGAAGCCCACTGATACATTTCATAGGGGACATAATACTTGCTATGTTTGTTCCTTACTGGAGGCGATCCGCGATGGACTCTACCAATCCAGAAGTTTTGGACATCTATTAGATCCATATCTTTCAAGTATGAAATCAGATTGGGGGTATGAACAAAGATGTCATCATCTGCAGTCATAATAAAACTTTGCATGGCGACAGTATGCATTCACCCAACCAAACTGCAGGAGGAACTTTAGAGTTAAATTATGAAATGTATCCAGGAACTCTTGCTGTATCAAGTCATGGTGGACCTTGTTTTCCATTTCGAGCTGCTTCTGTTGCAGGCTGCGTTTTACAGGGTCTTTATCTACTCCAAGAGCAAACACGACCTTGACGTTGGCAGCATATTGGGACCATATAGAATTCTCATTTCCCCAGGTGTACCTAATTGCATCACGCCGTCTTCGGTTCTCTGGTGAGGTCTTTACAAACAGCAAGAGCAGCACATCCTCCTTCAGGCATTTGTCTTTATTATTGATCAAGTACTTGAAGTTCCCCGAACTGTCAGATTTCTCCCGCAGAACAGTCAAGCTATTATTCACAAAACCATAACTGTTTATAAAATATCGGTAAGAGTAAGATTTTATGTGGTTTACAATATCATTGTCATCCTGAACCCACATCAGCATGAAAGACACAACAAAACAAGTGGCCATTACTTGAAGAAACTGGCATCTTCTTAACTTCCTGCTACCAAAATACATTCTGGGGAGCTTGTACATTTAAACGTTTATACCAGGTTCATATAGTCCTCACAAAGTCTGCCTTATCTCCAAAATAAAGGATCATTGTAAAAGAATGTGCGGGTCACACACCCAAGAAACACTTTTGAAAGAGTGAGGCCAACTCTTCAAATTTAAAGGATCCATACGATCGCCTTCTTATCGGATTCATAGACCACCTGAAATAGAAAAAAAAAATAAACTGTTTTGTTACATCCATTTTAGATCATGCAAACTATGCTTTGTTAAAGTACATCTACTAAAATGTATAAAACAGTAGCTAACAATCACTGTGAATGCAGACTATTTTTACTTTCTAAATGCAAAAGTTGCCCTGAACTAGACTATGACCTGTAAGAGATGGCAGAGTTCATTTGGCAAAAAGGTAAGCAAATAGGAGCAGATGCCTAATGGCATCTAAAACAAAAGTCAATACAAAATGATATTTGACAGGGCTATAAAAGTACCTGTAATAAATATTTTTAGGTATTGTTTTTCATGAAAACATGCTCACACATTTTAAAATTTACACCAATGACAGCAACATTTTTTTTCAAAAGGATAGGTTCACCTTTTGAACAAAAATAATAATTTTTTTTTTTTGCAGGTAAAACGTGCATTTATTATTTTTGTCCAAAGGAGCCTGGAAAGCATTGCACCAGCAATCAGTAGATAGCTGATGTCATGTAGGTCTCCTGCAGACCTGTCAGAATATGTGCTTGCAGTATGGAATGTACCATCAAGCAGATATACTGACAGAAAGCTTCAATGAACTACCACGGCTCTCCACAGCACTGTGGTAGTTCACTGAAAACTACAAGTCCCCAGCCGCTAAGGCTGTCGGGACCTGCAGTTCATTCATTCAATGAAGTCTGTGAATGAATGATGCGGCGCCTTGCATGGCTGTGCGGTTTTCAAATTTGACAAATCGTATATCTGTCAGAGGGAGAGGGGGGGGGGGGGGGGCAGCGGGCACGGCTGCAACTATGGGAACATGTTACATGCTCCACCCTAAAAAACGTGAAGGTGAACTTATCCTTTAAATTATGGAGAGATAATAAATTGTACCTTTTAAAAAAAGGTACAATAAAGGGAAACTAATGGTTTGAGGTAATTTATTTCAAACTGTATCTAAAGATAAACCCTTTTTTTTTATTATAGAATGGTGCCTACTACAGAGATTTGCGTCCTCTATTTGTCCTGGCAAACACTGCCACTGGGACTCAAAATTAGGGTAGATCCAAAATTGAATAGATCTGAGAGGCAGCAAACAGCAGGCTAACTATGCTGCTGCTTATTATGAGGCAGTGGCTTAGGGGCCATTGACACTACTGCATTGCAGAAATGTGTTACATGCATTGGTGCGGTGTATTCATTCTGAATGGCTTCCAATGCAACATGCTGATGAACGTGCAGTGTGCTGCTGCCACAAATTTGGTGTAAAAAACTTTTTATTCCTTTACAAACAAATGGCCATTTGGTGTATTAGAAACTTTCCAAACAAATGGCCAGTTAACTGCGCTTCAGACTTTGGGGGGGGCAGATTGTGGCCAGTGGGAGTAGGTAATGCCTCATTCTTGGTAGTCAAAAGGGAGTAAGAAAATTATAACCCTTCTGCGGTTAGGAAAAGGAAGAATAGTGCCCCATTGTTGGTACTAGTTGGGGGAATAGTGCCCCATTGTTGGTACTAGTTGGGGGAATAGTGCCCCATTGTTGGTTGGGGGAATAGTTGGGGGGGGAATAGTGCCCCATTGTTGGTACTAGTTGGGGGAATAGTGCCCCATTGTTGGTACTAGTTGGGGGAATAGTGCCCCATTGTTGGTACTAGTTGGGGGAATAGTGCCCCATTGTTGGTACTAGTTGGGGGAATAGTGCCCCATTGTTGGTACTAGTTGTGGTACTAGGGAATAGTGCCCCATTGTTGGTACTAGTTGGGGGAATAGTGCCCCATTGTTGGTACTAGTTGGGGGAATAGTGCCCCATTGTTGGTACTAGTAGTTGGGGGAATAGTGCCCCATTGTTGGTACTAGTTGGGGGAATAGTGCCCCATTGTTGGTACTAGTTGGGGGAATAGTGCCCCATTGTTGGTACTAGTTGGGGGGGGAATAGTGCCCCATTGTTGGTACTAGTTGGGGGAATAGTGCCCCATTGTTGGTACTAGTTGGGGGAATAGTGCCCCATTGTTGGTACTAGTTGGGGGAATAGTGCCCCATTGTTGGTACTAGTTGGGGGAATAGTGCCCCATTGTTGGTACTAGTTGGGGGAATAGTGCCCCATTGTTGGTACTAGTTGGGGGAATAGTGCCCCATTGTTGGTGGCAGTGGGAGAAATAGTGCCTCATCATTGCTGATCATGAAAGGAAGAGTGCCTCATCAATGGTGTCAGTGAAAAGAATAGTCCCCCCCCCATTATTGGTGTCAGAGGAAGAATTTATGCTCCATCATTGGTGTAAGTGGGAGGAATAATACCCCATTGTTGATGTCAGAGCGAGGAATAGTGTTCCAATGGCAGGATAAAAAGCAAGCAAAAGCAAACAAAAAAAAAACACCTACAAAGTGATGTGCACTGCTATTTGCGGTTTCGAAAACTCCAGATTACATTGTTCAGTGCCGAAACATTGTATGTGACAGCTCACACAATGGTTCCCGTTACAGTACAAGACTTCAGCTTAGGCTATGGGATAGAATCCTGGCTCAACTTGCAGACCAGTTAGCTGTGAACATTGCTGAGTAGCTCATTCATTGTGTTCTCCATTGTTCCAGCTAAACATTCAGCATTTTCTAACACAGTCAGGTATCCCCTTTCTTTGTTAAACACAAACTACAACTGCTGCATCTGCATTTCTTGTTTTAGCACTATTTCTAGGCGTAGCTAGAGAAAACAAGGTATTTTGCTTAGCATTCTATTATTTTTCTATGTTATCTTTCTATAGAATTTGTTTAGCAGAAAGAAGGTGATTGTAGCTGTATTAGTGCATTTGCGACATAAACAATTCAGTACTGTCCGTGATAATTTTTTTTATTTGCACTAACATAATTTTGAGGACAAGCTTTCGGGGAGTGTCCCCTTCTTCAAGGTCCAAGCAGTACTAATAGTACTGCTTGGACCATGAAGAAGGGGACACTCCCCGAAAGCTTGTCCTCAAAATTGTATGTTAGTGCAAATAAAAAAAGTATCACAGACAGTACTGAATTGTTCCTTTAGCAGAAAGAAAAAAACTCTCATGCATATCACAATTCAGCAAATTAAGGTGACATGAAAGAACGTCCTACAATTCTAGCTCCTGCTGTTTTTCACCAGTCTAACAGTCATAACAGGACTAATGTCCCTTACAAAAACACCATCACACACTAAAATGTATGATGTACTATTTTTGTTAAAAGCGTAAAAATGAATGCAAAAATAAAATGTTTAAATCACAAAAAAACATATAAGTAGTGCTAAACTAAACCTATAGTATATCAAATGCATACTTTTTTTCAAAATTTTAAATGCACCAAGCCAAACAAAATATTAGGTAAAAAAATTGTATGGCGACGCAAAATTTACTTTAGGATACATGCACACGGACTTTTAGCAAGTGCACTCGAGTGTAAAATTACAGGCGTTTTCTCACTGCATGTGTGTATGGCTTGTATTGCTTTAGAGGAATATGTCATATGCATGTAAGATAAATGCCAGCTGTGCACGCCACCTATAATGCCCCAGGCAGGGAAAACCGCAGACTCTGAAGAGAATCCTAACTTTATAGTTGGGATCCATCCAGATGCCTGAACTGGCAACTGGTTAAGCCTCTCAGCAAGCCGCTGAGAGCCTGAGCCAGCCGCTCCCGCCCCCTCCACAACCCAGCGCTCCAGTGAGAGGTGCAGGGACACAGCAGACAACCATTGACTGACAATCTTCAGCAATGTACTCACTGAAGACTGAGAACCGAATGACCAGCTGTCTTTGATTACTCAGTTCTCAGTCTTGGAGAAAGCAGAGGACAGGTGCAGCATCAGATCGATGCTAAATCCACCTAAAGTGGGAATCCTTTATGAATTTAAACCCCATACGTCTCCTTTAAAAACAGTAATTGCACGAGAACGTTAAAGCTGACCTTACATTATAAAATAGTTCATGAAACCACCCCCTCTCCAGAACCAAGCACAGATGCAAAAAGGGTGGACAGAGTGTGAACCCTTGAACGCTCAGATCGAGTGTGCGAACGATGGCAAAAAGAATTGAACATGAACAGGGAAACCGTGTGGCAGATTCTTACAGATATGGGAATGAGAAAGATCTCTCAAGATTGGAGGTGCCATCTCTGTAGAAAAGATCAGTACGAAAGTAGTCTTCAAATTTCATCCATTCTTTTGAAAAATGCAGGTGTTTGACAGGGTTATTACCGGTCCATTTCAGGAATTAAATTGCTGTACCCTGTACAGTGCACAGATATAGAGACTGTAATTAT